TCTCTCTCTCTCTCTCTCTCTCTGTCTCTCTCTGTCGTCACTTACTTTTTCACGTAGTCTCTGTACTCAATGCCGGAAGCTTCTTCCACGACCCTCCCAAGGACCAGGTACGCCATGTTGGAGTAGGCCACGTTTGTGCCAGGGGTGAAGGCCAGCGGATGTGACATCACGTAGCTGATGAGGTCACTTGAAGACAGGGGCGACGGCTTGCCCATGTCTCTGGCGATGTTTGGCACTTTGTGCTGGAGAAGACAAAAAAGAAGTTGCAGGAAATGTTAACTGATAAACGCTGTGGCTCTAAGTCTAAGTGGTCACGCTAAGGTTTAAGTGCGACTTTTATTTTATCTATTTAATTTATAGATTCGATTTACTTAATATTTGCGGGTGCAGTGGCGGAGCGGTCAGTGCACTTGTCTCCGAAGCGGAAAGTCTGGGTTCGAGACTCGATTCGGACACGGATTTTTTTCGCCCCCTGCTGCCCACCCAGCAGTAATGGGTACCTGACATCGAGTCGGGGAAATAAAGGCGGCGTGGAAAGGAACTGGCCACCCTACCACAATAATTATTATGTCGAAGGCCCAGGAAGTTGTCTCACTAACAAAGCAATCCCCAATGTCTGGATCGGATGCGGGAACAACTTTACTTTTTACTTAGTATTTATTGAACAAACCTCGCATATTCGTTAGGAACAAACATACCAGAACTAAATTGCTGTATATCAATGCGGATGACCGTGTCTGGAGTTCCCAAATTTTAATCTCGTGTTGTCTGAGGCGTTTTCAAGACTCGGTACACACTGATTTTGGCTCCATTCTTGCGGATAGTGAATGGTGTGATGAGTTTTTATGGACTTGATTGAACCCAGACAGTATTCTTTTAATCGAAGCACTCAGCCAGAATGAAATGCTCTAGTCAAAAACTTTTTTCCTCTGTTGTTTCTGTCCATCTTTCCCCCTTTTTTCAGCGTACATGACCGTATGGTGTCTATGTTCTTCTCTTTTATTCAAACAAGCAAATGAAAACACAAACAAACTGTCATCCAAATGCCAAGCGGACGATTTTGAGCAAGCCTACAACTACAAGCAAGCAAGATAACCGACCACCCTCGAACAAGCAAACACCCCCCCCCCCCAAAAAAAAAATCAAAAAAAATCATAGCCATCATACCAATTCAGCAATCGAACAACACAATTAGAAATAAAAGAAAATCATTCAGGCTTAGACGGTACACACCCCTCTGTCGAGATACACCTCGTTGAGCATGGGGTCGTAGAGGGGCGGCCGGTTGGTGTCCCATCCGGCGCCGTGTCTGAGGAGGTGCTCCACGGTGACCTCATACAGGCGCGGGTCCACACCGGCGCGGCGCCATGGCTTGATGGAGGACAGCAGGGCTTTCTCGCCGAATACCTAGGGAGGGAAGAAGATGTTGTAGTTTTTTAGTAGTTTTAGTAGAGGTTTTACGGCGTTCGCAACTGCCTAAGCTCATTTATAAGCGCCACAAGATAAAAGGTGTTACAAGAGAGTAACAAACATAAAAAAGAAGAAGGGGAGATAAGGATGATAGATGTTCGATAGGAAATAAGGAGCAAACCACACCAGAGCACCCGCCAACCACCCACGGAAGACGTTTGTTTTTGTAGAGGTTTTGCTGCCCTCGCAACTGAATGAGCGCCAAGGGGTGGATGCCTACAGAGAAGCCCTTACAGGGAATCAGGCGTACTCTGCTTACCTCTCTAGCGTCAGCAGCACAAAGTCTGCTTCGAATATCAAGGCACCCCGGAAATAACGGGTCACACGAGTGTGACAAACATACAAAAGAAGTTGGGGAAAAATGACGATAGTAAGGATCAGGAAAGAAAAAAAGCAGCAGTTCCCTCTTGAAGTTCAGGCACAGTTATGAGCATGACATTGTTGACTGTGTTTGATTAGTGGAGTGGGTTTTTGTGAGTTTTCGTAAATAAAGAAAAACGAACAAACAAGCGAAACACTAGGATGTTTTCATGTAACGAGAGTGTTTGTTACTCTGTAGTAACAGCGAGTGGTTAGTGGGTGCTCAGGTGTGGTTTGCTCCTTCTTTCCTATAAAACATCTATCGTCCTGATCTCTCCTTGTTTGTGTTTGTTACTTTCTTGTTACATTTTGTGTTGCAAGTGCCGTAAAACTCTTACTAAAGAAAGATCTTTCGTAGCATCTTTTAGCTTCGGCACTTATATGACCTAAAATGTTGCTAGTGCCGTAAAACGTTTCCTAGAACAATTTCAAGCCGTACCTTCTCGTCTAGCTTGAGCTCTCCGTCCTGCACTAGCCTCATGATCGCCACAGCCGTCAGGGACTTGGCAATGCTGGACACTTGAAAGTGCGCATGCGCCGTGACCTCGTGACCCTGGCGGTCACGGCCGTAACCTCTGGCGTGCAGCAGACGACCGTCCTTCATGGCGGCCACGGCCCCGCCCCTGTAGTTGTTGTCCCGCAGGAACTGGGTGAAGGCGTGGTCGAAGTGCTCGCTGTTCGGCGAGAAGCCTGTACAAGAGAAATGGTAGATATTATTGTTATAGAATGAGCTGATTAATTGGTGTAGGTCCTCGTTTTAGTTTCTTGTTTAATCGTTTGTTTCTTGGGGGGGGGGGGGGGGGATGTTTTTCCTCTTATCAGATGGATGGAAAGCGCCGATGTTTAATCGTTTGTTTCTTGGGGTTGTTTTTTTCGGGTTGTTTTTCCTCTTATCGGATGGATGGAAAGCGCCGATGGTAGTTCCTACCTACCCCCTCCCCATACCCCCCCCCTACACACACTCACTCACTCACTCACTCACTCGCTCACTCACTCACTCACTCACTCACTCACTCACTCACTCACTCACTCACTCACACACACACACACACACACACACACACACACACACACACACACACACACAGAAATGTGCCTGCGGTTAATAAATTCGAGTGTCCACACACAGCCCAATACGGTACACACTTGTTTCGAGCCGACGATACTCCTTCTACCCTTTTTGGATTGAGGGGGTGGGTGGGTTCTTTTCCCCCCTTTTAAATAGATCCAATTAGAACTACCTCCAGTATTTTTCTTAGTTGTACAGGTAGTTGGGGTACGCCACCGGTAGGTCCTATTTCTTTTCTATCCTTTTGGTGTGGGGTTTGGGGGGGGGGGTGTCTGCGTATCCTTTTCCCCTGATCTTAATTACCACTGTCGTGTTTGGTGTGCTTCTCTTTACTCAAACTGAACGTAAAAACAGACGCTTGATTTCTGAGAATTAGTCCACCCATTTGCTTTGCTTTTCCACGCTCCTCCTCACCTCTTACTTTTTTTAAATTGCTGTATATCTGGAAAGGGGCTTAAGACTCGTAGGGTACCCTACTTCCGTTCTGTTTGTTAAGTTCTGTAACCCAATTTCGCTGAGCGTGGATTTCTTTTACAGTAGTAGTCCGTATTCTCTCGACAGCTGCTGTGCTGCTTGGCTTGTGCTTTCTTTCGCCACTACAAATGGTTCAGGTCTTCAGTACTTTCTTAGAGTCAGCAGATACGTGCCACCAGCCAGGCTGTGAAGTTTGGGCCAGTCACAAGTCACAAATTTGGTTTACTGGTGGATTTATTTAAACGTATTTCTAGTTGTGAGCATATGGTTCAGATCACGCACTCCGTTTTTTGAACTCTTTAACATTCCCTTTGTAGGCTGGTTCGTATGATAAACGATTATAAGACAAAGGAGTTACATTTAGTTTGACCACCTCTCCTATTTTTCCAAAATAATTTCTACAGTATTTTCGAGCTGTCTTTGGGAAATAATGATGTGAATCTTGTGACTAAGTTGGACATGGAGGAAACATGTTTTGTTCGAGTCGAATTGCATTCATCTTTTTTGTAATGTAATGTAGCTTATTTCAAACACACCGGAGAACTAGTTCCTGAGATATAGTTTTTGATCGCTTTGGTCCGGTTAATAGATAAACGCGTAACCCAAAATACAGTTTGTCAGAAATTCAACGAACAAGCAATGGATAATTGCTCGACGCACCTTTGATGTACTCCTGTGTTGACAATCTCATTACGGCGCCTGGCTGAACAAACGCGATCCCCCAACCTGGCGGTCGGAATCGCACTCTGTGATTAGTGATTGTTGTGCCCTATCGTCCAGAAGGTGTCACAGGCTACTGGGACCCGGCGCTTGTAAGTTTAGGCGAGACCCAAGAATGTTAAATGCTCAAATACATTATGCTGATTGCGAAAAGGAAATTTTAGTCAAGTTTGAAATCAGAATGACGGTGACGGGCGTTTATAGTAGCGGAGAACCCCCTCCCCACTCCCCCTCACACCCCGAAAAAAAGCAAACAAACGGTGGAACTACAGAGATTTGCGTCTGTTTATTAGTTTATAGAGTTATAACGACATTGATACTTCCTAAGTACCCAAAAAACCCAAAACGAGTGGCTTTAGGGCGTCACTGATATTATAATTATATCCTATTTTCTCAGTACCTATCTGTTGTTTCTCTATCTCCATTTACTCTTCAGTACTGAATGGCTGTTGCAGTGTCGATGTAATTCAACATAATCTGAATTGTTTGTTTACCCTTACCCCCCCCCCCCCTCCCCCACCCCACCCCTTTCTTCCCTGGTTTCTGGTTTGATTAACTATGCTAATGGCTGATGTTTTTATTAGGGCAGCTTTGTCATGCTGGGTTTTTTAAATCACTCCTAAATTTTCACTGTTTATTGTAAAACTTGAACTCACCCTCGCCTTGAAAGAAAAAGCCCCCCCCCCCTTTCCCAAATAAAAAGACCCAAAAAAACAAAAGCCGTAGGTGTGTACTTCTCTTTTACCACGTGGCAATGTGTCATTGGTGGCTTTCATAGGGTGGGAAGGAGGGGGGGGGGGGGGGAGCGGTGGATCCCTTTCAAAACTCTATTGCATACCGCTTTTCGGTTTTAATTTCGATGCACTTAATTGTTTATTTTAGGGGTAACCGTATAACGTTTGTAACCCTAGTGCTTGTAGTCTCGCCAATTGTTGTTTTCCCGCGTACCACAGAGCTGTTCATAGCGTCCCTGATGACTCTCGCGCCGAGCTCCCGATTCCTGTTGACCCAAACGCATGGATTCGCACGACGGTGTGTCAATTCAGTGAAAATTTCAAGCTTTGAATATAATTAAAACGGCGTGGCTTTGTAAACTACCAGGCATGACATACGGGCTGGACAGAGAACTAACAGTCTCTTCTTGTTCTTGTTCTTCTGGTTCTTGTTCTTCTCGTTCTTTCTTTTGTTTTTGTTCTTCTTCTCCCGTTTTTGTATGCACCTGTGCAGCTTTATTAGACTTAGTGCCACGTTATAGTAACCCACTACATGCAATAACTATTCCAGAAATCAGAAGAAAAGGTTCGCAAGTCGTACCACGACTTTTCGGCATGACTGTGACGTTGGTAACAACTTAACCTTTCATCGAGCACCTGTTCCCTGTGTTGTTCTGTTAATATAACCCAGTACGGCTCGACTACCCGAACCGCACATCTGTCAGGTGTATAGTACTTTAAAGCTCCCTTTTAGCTCTCTAACGGAGGCAAAGAGTTTAAACCTCTTATTATTTGGTCTTCTGTTTAAGTTCAACTCAGCCCTCTGTCATTCTTGTCAAAGATCTCCAGAATCTACGTGAATGTGGATTGCAGGATAGTATAAGACGTTTACGTACTTTACATTAACGCACGACGGTCTTTTTTGTCCCTAAAATTGGCAATAGTCCACTTAATGTCAGCGAGACATCCTTTCGGATTCAAGTAACGTATACAGTATGCTTCGCTATGACGGAATTTGAGGGCTCTTTGGCTTCCACGCACGAATTCAATTTATTCTTAATAATATAACTACCGTCTCTCCCCCCAACCCACAGACCCCATCCTTCTCCACTCACCTCTCACCCCACATATTGACACCTCTTCGGGAGATTCAAGTAACGTACACAGTATACTTTTGCTCGCTGTGACCGCTTTTGAGGGCTCTTTGGCTTTCGCGCACGGATCCAATCTTTTCTACATAATATAACCCCCGTCTCCCACCCTCCCGTCCCTTACCACACGCACTCACACCTC